TCTCTGAAAGGGAAGGAGGAACCATTGGAGGCTCCTGGAGTGGAGCCTGGCCCACGGAACGATGCCCAAGCAAGAGATCATCTTCCCCAGGAGTTGAGAGAGTTGTACCAGAGGTACCCTCTTTTCCCTGCAGATCTGCTGGGCCAGCCTCCGAATGCTGACCTGGCGCTCCGGAGAGAGATAGACTTTGCATAGGTTCGAATCTATCAATGCTCCCAGATGGAGCAGACGTCTTGTGGGTGTTGTGTGACTCTTTTTGAAGTTCACGGAAAACCCATGATCCTGAAGTGTTTGGATTGTGATTTCCAGGTCCAACTGGGCTGAGTGGAAGGATCTCGACTGTACAAGTATATCGTCCAGGTAGCACTGTACGCGCACGGGCCTCATCCTTAGATGAGCCGCCAGCATGGCCAAGATCTTTGTGAAGACCCTCGGAGCCGAGGAGAGACCGAAGGGAAGGGCCCGATACTGGTAATGCCAGTGCGCGTAACAAAACCGCAGGAACCTGCGGTGTTCCTGGAGGATTGGAATGTGGAGGTAAGCCTCTGTCAGGTCGACGGAGGAAAGGAAGTCCCCTTTCCTGATGCTCGCCAAGATGGACTTTAGGGTCTGCATCTTGAACTTCCTGTAAGTTAGGAAGTAATTTAGACCCTTCAGGTCCAGTATCGCCCTCCATCCTCCTGAGGCCTTGGGGACTACAAACAGGATGGAGTAGAAGCCCACTCCTATCTGGTCCTGTGGCACCCTTTCTATGGCCCTGATGTCTAGTAAGTGTGCGATGGCTGTCGAGACTAGATGAGCTTTTGAATAATTGTTTGAAACCGGGCATTGTATGAAATGATCTGGGGGAAAAGATCGAAACTCTAGGGAGAGACCGTGTCTTATGGTCTCCCTGACCCAAGCGTCCATAGTTGTGCTCTCCCACTTGTCGTAAAACAGTGCCAGCCGACCCCCAATGGGGTAATCCTCCTTGGCGTCACTTGGACCACCTGTATGGCCGGCTGCCCGAGCCCCTGAAGGGATGTTTGATCTGGGACTGGCCCCTGGCTCCACTAATCTGGCGGTCCTGCTGTCAATCCTGCCTGGAAGGATAGGACCGTGAGCCTCTGGGCCAATCCCAGGACTGCCCTGCCCAAAAGGGCTGTCTCCACTCCCAGGAACCACCGGGGCGAAATGTCGGCCTACGGTAATCTAGTTGAAGACGCCTATCCGATTTTTTGGATGGGTGAGCCAAGACTTTGCGCTTATCCTTGCCCTCAATGACATGCGGTTCTAGCACTGCACCGAATAAGTGCGTTCCACTGTACCTGGAAGTTGACAGGCGCCACTTTGCCTTTAAGTCCGTTCGCCAATGCTTCAACCAGAGAAGCCTGCGGGACGCCACTGTGGCAGCAACCGATCGGGCTGAGCACCTGGCCGAATGCAGAGATGCATTCGCAATGTACTTGGAAGCTGCCACAATCTTGCCTAGTGTTTGGTGCGCCCTGACCTGATCTGGCGGAATGAGCGCCTGGAGATCCTGCAGCCACATTATCGCTGAACGTGCAAAGAAGGAGGATGAGGTTGCCGCCCTTATGGCCCAAGCCGAAGATTGGTGAGCTCTGCGAAGTGAGAACTCGAACTTCTTGTCCTCCGCCTTCAAGAATTCAGCCATGTCCCCAGGAATGGCGGTGTTGGAGAACAAAGATGCCAGAGGAGAGTCCACAGTCGGAACTTCTAGAAGAGAGGCAAAGGAAGAAGCAACATTGTAAAGTTTCTTGTCCAAACTACTCGGAGAAGGAGTGGTGGTTAGGGATGACCACTGCTTTTCCACCGTAGTCCTGAAGACTGACGGGCATGGAATCTGAGGTTCCTCCCTGACCTTTTCCGCAAACAGGGTTGGCCTCCTGGTTCGAGGAGGTAGAT